GCACTCTGGTAAACTGATCATCCGCTGGTACCACTGATAACTGATCTACAATTTTGTAGAAAAGAGGCGACTTGCTTGCTTGTTTGTGTTTGAGTGTGTATATGCTTATGGGTGTAAAAGATAGAGAACAGATAAAACTTTGTGATAAGAATGTTTACAATTGGATGCCACTGAACTGTACACTTAAAAATGGTTAAAGTGGCAAATTTTATGTTTTATATATATATATATATATATATACATATATGTATATATATATACACACTTTACCACAAAAAAAAATTTTTTTAAAGAAAATGTTTGCAATTGGAAATCTGAGTTTCTGGGTGGCACATACGGTTAAGTGCTTGACCACCAGCCTAAACGTTGGTAGTTCAAACTCACCTAGAGGAGCCTTGGGATACAGGCCTTAGTGATCTGCTTCCAAAAGGTCACAGTCTTGAAAACCCTATGGAGCAGTTCCACTTTGCACATATGGAGTCACCACGAGTCAGAATCTACTTGACGGTAACTAACAACAACAATCTTTCCTGGCAGAGATCTCATTCATAAAAGATGATAGTTGTTTAACTTGTGAAAAGGAGGAATAAAGAAAAAGCACTCGACTATTAGTTGAAAGGTTGGTGGTTCAAACCCACCCAGAAGTGCCATGGAAGACAGACCTGATGATCTTCTTCCCAAAGGTCACACCCTTGAAAACCCTACGGAGCAGTTCTACTCAACTAGAGTCAGAATCAACTAGATGGCAACTAACAATGACAATAACAAATGGCCTCTCACTGACCAGGGCCTTTCTTCAGTGGAGACCTGCCCTCCTGGCTCTGCACAGCTCTCTTTTTTGTCTGTTCCCATCCTTTCCTTCCTGCCATCCAATTCAGAATGCTACCATCCCCTGATGCAGAACAGTGCACCCCTAGAGATATCCACACCTTAATCTTTGAAAAGGCGGCAGTGGTGGTTCAATGGTAGAATTTTTGTCTCCCATGCAGGAGACCTGGGTTTCATTCCCAGTCAATGTACCTGATTTGCAGTCACCACCTGTCTGTCAGTGGAGACTCGTGTGTTGCTAAGATGCTGAGCAAGTTTCAGCAGAGCTTCTAGACTAATTCAAACCAAGAAGAAATGCCTGGCTATCTGTTTCTGAAAATCAACCAATGAAAACCTTATGGATCACAATGATCCAATCTGCAAGTGATCATGGAAATGACACAGGACTGGGCAGCACTTTGTCCTGTTATGCACGGGGTTGCCATGAGTTGGGGGCCAACTCAATGGCAAGTAATAGCAACAATCTTTGGAACCTGTGAGTTACATAAGAAAAGAGACTTTAGAGAACAATTAAGGTTTCAGACCTTAAAATAGGAGAGTAGCCTGGATTATCCAGGTGGGCCCAGTCTAATCATCTGAGCCCTTAAAAGCAAGAAACTGTTTCCAGCTGGAGGAAAAAGAGGGTGGCAGCAGAAGTGGAAGCCAGAGAGATTCCAAGCGTGAGAAGGGTTTCTGAGTCATTGCTAATTCTGAGCTGTAGGGGGCCACATGCCAGGACCAGAGCTATAGGCAGCCTCCAGCTGACAGCCAGCAAGGAAGTCCTACAACTACAAGGAACTAAATTTTGCCAACAACTTCAAGGAGCTTAAAGGTGGATTCTTCCCAAAATCTCCAGAACAAAAAGCACCCCTGCTACCACCTTGATTTTAGCCCACTGAGAACTAGTTTCCGACTTCTAACATAGAAGAAGCCCAGGTGGCACAATGCTTAAGTGCTTGGCCGCTACCCAAAAGGTTGGCAGTTCAAACTCACCAGCTGCTCTGAGAAGACAAGACCTAGCAATTTACTCCCATAAAGATGACAGCCTAAGAAAACCTATGAGGCAGTTCTACTTGTCATATAGGGTCGCCATGAGTCAAACTTGATGGCACACAAAAATAACAATCTTTATAAAAGCAGACCACCCGGGCTTCCTTCTGAGAGTCACTGAGAGAGTTTGAACCAACAACCTTTAGGTTAGTTGTTGTTATTGTTACCTGCTGTTGAGTCCATTCCAACTCATGGCAACCCCACGTAGTAGTAAGCTGCAAACCAAGACACCCAGGGACCTCGGTCTCTCCCAGCCCTTCAGAAATGTACAATGATTTGAAGGTGTCAGCTGGAGAGCCTGATCAACTAATTCCATGTTAATTTGCTAATGGACAAGGGCTAGAGGGAGACTGTAATTTTTTTAACCCAGCATTTTGAAGAGATGCTGTCAACTGACTCTCACTCTACGAGATATCCATAAGAGCAGCAGAAATTTCAGATCAGGAATGAGGAGAATAGCCTCCTGGGCAGTGGTAAAGGAGCAATTTGGGGACAAGCAAAGCCTTGCAGAGAATACCAGAAAGATGTTTAACTGTGTTATACTGCCTATGCAAACGCATTCGACTGTGTGGATCATAACAAATTATGGATAACACTGAGAAGAATGGGAATTCCAGAACACTTAATTGTGCTCATGAGGAAACTGTACAAGGACGAAGAGGCAATCATTCGAACAGAACAAGGGGATACTGCATGGTTTAAAATTAGGAAAGGTGTGCGTCGGGGTTGTATCCTTTCACCATACTTATTCAACCTGTATGCTGAGCAAATAATCCAAGAAGCTGAACTATATGAAGAAGAACGGTGCATCAGGATTGAAGGAAGACTCGTTAACAACTTGTGATACGCAGATGACACAACCTTGCTTGCTGAAAGTGAAGAGGAATTGAAGCACTTACTGATGAAGATCAAAGATTACAGGCTTCAGTATGGATTACACGTCAACATAAAGAAAACAAAAATCCTCACAACTGGACCAGTAAGCAACATCATGATAAAAGGAGAAAAGATCGAAGTTGTCAAGGGTTTCATTTTACTTGGATTCACAATCAACGCTCATGGAAGCAGCAGTAAAGAAATCAAACGACATATTGCATTGGACAAATCTGCTGCAAAAGACCTCTTTCACGTGTTAAAAAGCAAAGATGTCACTTTAAGGACTAAGATGCACCTGACCCAAGCCATGGAGTTTTCAATCACCTCATATGCATGTGAAAGCTGGGCAATGAATAAGGGAGACCAAAGAAGAAATGATGCCTCTGAATTTTGGTGTTGGTGAAGAATACTGAATATACCACGGACTGCTAGAAGAACAAACAAATCTGTCACAGAAGAAGTACAGCCAGAATACTCCTTAGAAGCAAGGATGGCAAGATTTTGTCTCATGTACTTTGGACATGTTAACAGGAAGCACCAGTTCCTGGAGAAGGACATCATGCTTGGTAAAGTAGAAGGTCAGTGAAAACAGAGGAAGACGTTCAACAAGATAAACTGACACAATGGGTATAACAATGGGCTCAAACATAGCAATGACTGTGAGGATGATGCAGGATGAGGCAGTATTTTGTTCTGTTGTACACAGGGTTGGTATGAGTCAGAACTGATTCAAGAGCACCTAACAACAACTAATGCAATGCCTTGCAGCAGCAGACCTTCCACTCACATCATCCCAAGACAGGACACATCCCTGTAAGTGCTTTTCTTTAAGCTTTTCTTCTCCCTTACTTATAAAATATAACGTATCTTCATGGTTAAGAAGAAATCAAAGACAGAAAGTAATACATTGCAAAGTAACTGTGCCCTTGCTCATAGCTCCACGTTCCCAGCAAGTTTCCCTATACATATAGTCTTTATGTAAATTTTTTCTTTCTTTTAAATAAACAGGATTGTTCTGTACATACTACTATATAACTTGATTTTTTTTTCATTTATTAGTATATCTGGAACATTTTCTTGCATCAGTACATGTAGAGCTGACCCATTTTTTCCCAGTTTTTTTAATGATCACACACTATTCCATTTTATAACTTACTTATTTCATACCCTAAACATGTCCATTTATGTTGTCTGCATATTTTCATTAATGCAAATGAATGCCCTTATGCCCATATTTTCTCAATATTATACAGGAATACCTATATGATACATATCCCAAAGTGGAATTACTAGGCTAAATAGCATGTGCATTTAAACACTGATAGTGCCAAAATGACACCCAAAAGTGTATCAAATTGAATCTCCCATGAACAAAGTATGAGCATGCCTGTCTTCCTCACATCCACTACAACACTGGTCTTAATGTATTTGTTCACCTTTGCCAATTTCTTAGGTAGAAAATGGTTTCTTGTTCTGTTGTTTACTTTTCTTTAATTCTCAGTGAGGTGTAGCATCTTTTCAAATGTTTATTGGGCATTTATCATTTTCTTCATGTCCAACTCATGTCCTTTGCAAATTTCTCCATCAAGTTCATTTTTCTTATTGATTTATTCGAGTTATTTGTATGTTAAGGGAATAAATCTTTTATCTGATGTGCTGCAAATATTTTCCCCCTGTGGGCTGACTACTGACTCTACTAACAGAGGGGTTTGCTATCATAAGTTATAAATTTATATGAAGTTAAATAAAAATAGATCAATATTTTTCTCTCAAGTTTTTGGTTTTGTGACATGATTGTAAGTGCTTTCCTCAACCAAGATTAGCTTCTAAAATTCACCCACATTTCCTGTCATTTCTTTATTTTATCCCCTTAAAATTTACTTTAATGTAAGGAAAAGGGAGGAGGAATACAGATTTACTTTCTCCCAAATGGCTAGAAGTTTTCCTAACATTACTTATTGAAAAAGCTATCTCTTCCTGTCTGATATGAATGTCATCTTTATCATATAATAAATTCCTAAATATACTAAATTTATTCTCTGTTATTTGATCTCTGTTTGATGTCACTGAAAATTAACTTATGTAGCTTTATAATTACATTTTTATACTTTATTGGTACTTTTAGACATTCTCTAGCTTTTTAGCCTTAATTTTGTCAGCTGAACTTTTTATCAGCTTTCAAAAAACCCTCTTGATATTTTTATTTGCCTGCATTTTGACTTGATTCAGATAAGTTACAGTGTTATAAAGGCTTGATTTTTACTTACCCAGATGGATGCCATGATATCCCACCTTTGACTTGAGTTGAGATCACACTAACCTATTAAAAGAAAGAATTACTAAAAGGAATAAATCTGTGACTCAGAACACAGTAATCTCAGTCCAAACCACTTATCTTTAATCCAAAACAGAAGTCAACATTAAAAAAAAAATTGTCTCAGGAAGCAGATGCTTCTCTCTGTTCACTACATTTATTTACCACCTACCACAGAAAAAGGAGCCCTGGTGGCACAGTGGTTAAGAGCTCAGGCTGCTAACCAAAAAGTTAGCAGTTGGAATCCACCAGCCACTCCTTGGAAACCCTATGGAGTAGTTCTACTCTGTCCTATAGAGTGGCTATGAATCAGAATCAACTCGACGGCAACGGGTTTGGTTTGGTTACCACATACAAAAGGAGTCCCTAGGTGGCACAAAAGGTTAAACGTGTTTGGCTACTAACCAAAAGGTTGGTGGTTCAAAGCAGGGCTTTGAACTGGTTCACTCCAGTTTCAGCCCCTGCTGAGAATCTGCATTTCTACCCCAGATATACTGAATCAGAACCTACATTTTAACAAGATCCCTAAGTGATTCTTATGTATAATAAATTTTGAGAACCAATGCTCTATTAGTGGTTCTCAGAATTGGTCCCTAACCAGCAACATTAGCATCATCTGGGAACTTGTGAGAAGTGTAAATTCTCAGCAGGGGTTTGAGCTGGACCAAACCAGTTCGAAGCCCTAGTTCAAATCCACCCAGAAATGCCTTGGAAGAAAGGCCTGGAGATCTACTTCTGAAAAATCAGCCATTGAAAGCCCTGTGGAGCACAATTGTACTGACACACATGGGATCATCTTGAGTCGTAATCAACTCAAAGGCAACTGGTTGTAATGGTTATATACCACATACAAGGGACTGTGCTAAATTTGTGAGGGTTTATTATGGATTGAATTGTGTCACCCTAAAATATGTGTTGTAAATCCTAACCTCTATTGCCTGTGGTTATAATCCTATTTGACATTGGGTAGTCTTTGTTATGTTAATGAGGCAGGATTAGTGTAGGGTGTATCTTGAGTCCATCTCTTTTAAGATATAAAGGAGATTAAACACGCCAGCAGAGAGGCAGATGGGGTAAGATCAATGCCAAGATACATGGAGATCTCCAAGGAACCAGGATGCAGAAGCTGAAGACACAAGGACCTTCCTCCAGAGCCCACAGAGAGAAAAAGGCTTCCCCTCCAGCCAACACTCTGAATTCAGACTTCTTGCCTCCTAAACTGTGAGAAAACAAATTTCTGTTTGTTAAAGCCTTCCACTTGTGATATTTCTGTTATAACAGCACTAGATAACTGAGACAGGGTTCAAAGACAAAGAAGAAACAAAGTCTCCTCACTTAAGGAGTTTACAAATAAGCTTCCTGGAAAGCCAATTTTCAACTTATTAAAATCCTGTAGAACTACACTGATTACTGACTTATTTTAACCAAGGCAAACTACCACCCTAGGGAACAAAAAAAACCACAGAGGAAATTGCTCCCCAACCATCACCCCCAACCAACGCAAATTTTAACTGGCTTCAATGTGATCCATTTCCTTGTGCTTTGATTGTGAAATCCCATTTACATTTTACAAGGCTCCAAGCCTGGGGCCTGATATAACAGACCTTTGTGCTCTCTTAGGAGGAAGTCTAGTCCTTGCTTAGGGTGCAGAGGTAGAAAGAACAGTTCCTTGATGAAGCCCTGACTGGGAAAGCAGGCACACTTTCCATAAGTACATATTATTCAAACATGCTGGCTTATCTCCAGGGTTGACTTAGAAACACAAGTTGCTCCCACCCATCCTGGGAACAAAATATTTAAAAAATACAACGATAGCCTCGCAGTAGAGTTCAACAGGAAACTACATCATTGGTCCTTGGAAAGAATTAGGCCTAATTTTCTCAGGCTCTCTGTAGCCTAGGGCAGCTGGCTCTCTAGTTCCAGTCTAACACCACATCCGTCTCTTTACACAGTGTATATAAGGTTACTAGTTCTGGTTTTGCCTCTTAACAAGCAAGACACAATTTTTGCAGCCTCAGTTTCCTCATCTGTAAAAAGAGGAGAGAGGAGGGTTGTTTCTTGCATCAAATGAGAAAATATGCATTGTAACATCAGCCGGTATTTTTAGTTTTTACTATGTGCCGGGTAATATGGAACCCCGGTGGTACAGTGCTTAAGCGCTCAGCTACTAACCAAAAGGTTGACAAGAGACAGATGGAGCAGTCAGCTTCCGTAAAGATTTATAGCCCTGGACCCATGTGCATATACACATTTGGCTGTGGATATTTCTACATACATACTTGTATGTGCTGCATGTATATTCATATATATAATAGAGCACGCAGGGGGCACAGTGATGGAAACAGCCTAGACATTTCCAAACACCTAGAGGGACTGAGTTACAGGGCTTGAAGGCTAAAGACTATAGTCTCAGGGGACATCTAGGTCGATTGGCATTAACATAGTTCAGAAAGAAAGTGTTCCACATCCTACTTTGGTGAGCAGCATCTGGGTCTTAAAATCTTGCAAGTGGCCATTGAAGATATAACGATTGGTCTCTTTCTATCCAGAGCAAAGGAGAGTGAAGAAAACCAGACTCAAGGAAACAATCAGTCCAAAGGACTAACAGACTACAGGAACCACAGCCTCCACCAACCGGAGACCAGATCAACTAGATGGTGCCCAACTACCATTACCAACCGCTCTATACAAAATCATAATGGAAGGTCCTGGTTAGAGTAGGAAAAAAATGTAGAACAAAATTCAAATTCATAAAAAAGACTAGATTTACTGGTTTGAGAGACTTTAGAAACCCTCGAGATGATAACCCTTAAACACCCTTCTAACTTGGAATTGAAGCCATTCCCGGAGATCACCTTTCAGCCAAATAACAGACAGGCCTGCAAAGAAACAGTAACACTGTGAATGAAAATTTTAGAATCTGAGGTATTAACATATCTGAATTAGGTGGCTTCAGACCTAAAATTAAAAACTCCATTGTGAATTAAACTGAGAATTTAATTTCTACACTTCTAAAAACACATTCGGCCTTTTTTCAAAGTTTTACTGCTTGAAAAACAAAAGCAATCCCAATGCCTGTTAAGAATGTTTATGCAGCTGGCCCCAGAGAAGGTTCCTTACTGATATGTTAAATGAAGTTAGAACCTATAAATAACTTTATAGCCAAAGATAAGTAGATGTCAAGCTTTATCACCATTCTCACTCTCAAATTAATTTTCACTCATTGGGATTTTTCCACTGCAATCTGCTAGGTCTTTGTAAATTGGTAACTAGGTAGAAACTAAGTTTGTTAGAATAAGGAGACAGATCACTGCTACATAATATAAGACTCTAAAATTTTTGACTATAACATAAGAAAGTAGAGGTTCGGGCTTTAACTTACGTAAATAAACTTGCTGTCATAACTATATTCAGGGAATTTCCCCGGTGGATGCCTCATTCCTCTTTAGCTGAATAAGCAATGCTTACATTGCAAAAGACTTTAGATTTAGAGCTGACTTAATCTTCCCCTTTTCAAGGACTCCAATTAAGTTGACTTAGCCTGCAATACATCACTAATCCTCCACATCAAGAATGTTTATATATTTCACTTTGGAAATATTGCCTTAGTCAAATTGTATTAAGAATGAGAGATTTGTTAGACTAGAAATTGATGTTAAGAAAGTTTGCACAAGGACACAATGTTTCCTTCCTCCCTTGAAATTGCTTTGAACTTGCTTGCATTTATTTACTCTGCCTGTTAAATATCTCATTGTTCTGCCTACAAAGCAGAACACATGTTGCAGTTGGTTTGAATGCCACGTGTTCTCCTGTAGAATGAAAGTATTCCTTCAATAAAATTTTTGTTTTAATATCTATTAGATGACAGGACAATACATGTGAGGAAAGTGCTCCTTAGAACAATCATCTACATGAGACCAAAAGGACAACATATGCCCAAAAGCAAAGATAAAAAGGCAGGAAGGGGCAGGAAAACTGGACGAGTGGAAATGGGGAACTCACGGTGGTAATGGGAAGTATGCTAACACATTTCGGGTACTGTAACCAATGTCACAGAACAATTTGTGTATAAACTATTGAATCAGAAACTAACCTGCTCTGCAAACCTTCACCTAAAGCACAATTTAAAAAAAAAAAAAAAAAAGATTTACAGCCTTGGAAACCCTATGAGGCAGTTCCACTCTGTACTACAGGGTTGCTATGAGATGAAATCGACTTGACGGCAGTGAGTTTGGTTTGGGTTTTGGCCAGATAATATAAAGCACTAGAAGTTCAACTCCATAAGACTAGGGATTTATGTCATGTGTGTTCACTAGGGCATAGTATTCTTGTGTGCCGTCGAGTTGACTCCAACTCATAAAAACCCGTTCCTGTTACCATCGAGCTGATTCTGAATCATAGTGACCCTATAGGACAGAGTAGAACTGCCCCATAGGGTTTCCAAGGCTGTAAATCTTTACAGAGGCAGACTGGTACATCTTTCTCCCACAGAGCAGCAGGTGGATTTAAACCGATGACCTTTTGGTTAGCAGCTGAGTGCTTAACCACTGTGCCACCATAGCAATCCTACATGACAGAGTAGAACTGCCCCATAAGATTTCCTAGGTTGTAATCTTCACAGAAGCAGATCTCAAGGTCTTTTCTCCCATAGAGTGGCTGATGGGTTCGAATCTTGGACCTTTAGGTGAGCAGCCAAGCACTATAACCACTGCGCCACAAGGACTCCTCTGGCACACAGTAATATTGAAAGAATCCTTATTGAATGGAATGATTTAATATAAGGCTCACAATAATCCAGTTAAGTTAGGTTTCATTCATTAATAGCATCTCCATTTTGCAGATGAAGAAGCTAGGGTACCAAGAAGTACAATAATGTTCCATGGTCACTGAGCTAGTGAGTGGACCCCTAATGAATATAGGCAGCCAGACTCCAAAGGTATGAACTTAACCTCAATGCTTCTGCCTTCCCAAGCTCCAGGGCCAGTACCTAGCCAAAGCTGGTACTCAATATGTATAGGTCAAATATACATTGTAATTATTAACAATTATTACTGTGTCTTATACGTGTGTGTGTCTTATACATGCACGTCCAATACTGAAATTGTCAAGGATTTCATTTTAGTTAGATCCATAATCAATGCACACGGAAGCAGCTGTGAAGAAATCAAACGACTAACTGCATTGGGCAAATCTGCTGCAAAAGACCTCTTTAAAGTGTTAAAAAGCATAGATGTCACTTTGAGGACTAAGGTAAGCCTGACCCAAGCCATGGTATTTTCAATTGCCTCACATGTATGTGAAAGCTGGACAGTGAATAAGGAAGACTGAAGAACTGATGCCTTTGAATTATGGTGTTGGTGAACAATATCAAATATACCATGGACTACCGGAAGAATGAACAAATCTGTCTTGGAAGAAGTACCGCCAGAATGCTCCTTAGAAGCGAGAATGGCGAGACTTCATTGCATGTACTTTGGACGTGTTATCAGGTGGGACCAGTCCCTGGAGAAAGACATCTTGCTTGGTAAAGTCAGCGAAAGAGAGGAAGACCCTCAATTAGACGAACTGACACCGTGGCTACAAGGATGGGCTCAAGCATAGCAAGGACTGTGAGGATTGCGCAAGACTGGGCAGTGTTTGGTTCTGTTGTACAAAGGGTTGCTGTGAGTCAGAATGGACTCAATGGCACCTAACATTACTGATCTAACAACTAATTCTTAAGAAGTAAAGAATTAATCAATAGTGGAGGCCAGAAAGGAGTCCGGAGGTGATGCAAATGGTTATATGCTTGACAACCAGATGGTAGGCGGTTTGAACCCACCTTGAGGTGCCTAGGAGGAAAGGACTGATGATCTCCTTATGAAAGGCCACAGCCTTGAAAACCCTATGAAGCACAGTTCTACTCTGCATACATGGAGTTGTCATGCATAGGGTTTTTTTTTGGAGACACATGGGGTTGCCATGAGTTGGAATCGACTAGTTGACAACATGTTTGGTGTTGGGGTTTTCCTGGAGGCCAGATGACTTAACTTTAAAACACCCATTTTCTGAAAGGGGTTAGAACACCTACATAATTTCCTTTTATTTCCTCCTCCAACCCTATTTCTAAACATACTTCTCCACAGCAACACACAGGCCTGGGAATAAGGTTCTAGTTTTCTTTACATCTCTAAATTCTCTTCCTGGTCAGTCTGAAGTTTTCCTCATGAAAGTCAAATATAATCATCTTTGCAGAATAACGTTTTAATGGTTTTTTTGTGTTTTTTGGATGAAGTGGATGAAAACAGCTGTAAAATGTAGTTCTTCCAGAAAGCAGTGTCTGGCTCTCTGAATTGAACACAAATCCTTGGAAAGATTTTAGCTCCTGGCTGTGCAACTTCTTATCAGCAGCCTGAGGGGCCTCCAGCAGGGCCTCCAGCAGAACCTCCCGGCCTGGGCAGAAACCACAGTTTCCTATATATGGTCATTTGCAATCAAATACCCAGATCCCATACCTGCTGAGTTACCAGCTGGGCTAGTGAACTGGACTCTTGAAATCACAGAAAAAGGTGCGTCTTATCAGGCAAAAGCAAAATTCTCGTACTCCCAACACCCAGTACCTAAATCCACCCTCCAACCTTCTATAAAAATTAAGTAAAATAATATAAATTGCCTAACTAAAAGGAAAATCGTGCTCATAGGATGGGGTGGGGTTCCAAGCCCTGAGAATGGAGCTCGGAGCCAGTCCCGCCAGAGACGTCGGGGACTTAAAAGAGCCATTCCGATTCCCTACTCTTTTCCCCAAGAACTTTAGGACTGAGGGCGCCGAGATGGCCAATTGGATCCCATACACTGCTAGTCGTGATGAAAAATAAAGGGCCCAAGGTGCCAGGACAGCTAGGTGCTTGGGTCCCGCCAGTGACCACAGCTAGGTGACCCCATTCCCCTGTGCCTCCATTTCCTCAACTCTGAAACGCAGGACAGGGACTATATGTTCGCTGATGTGCCCCGCATCTGTCCCGCGCAGCTAGGGCGGTACCCGGAGCGGCGCTCGGGGCGCGGCGCCATCCCACCTGTACCCCGGGGACCGAGTTGCGTTCCAAGCTGCGACCCAGCGCGAGGGCGTGGGGCGAGGCTCGTGCTGGCGCCGGGGGTGAGGCTGAACTTACCCAGAAACGCCGCCGCGGGAACCCGAGTGCGGAAGAATCCGGAGCGAAGGTGTGCGCCCGGATGCTGGCGCTGCGCGCTTGCTCCCTGCCTGCGACTGCGACCGCGCCCTTCCCCCTGCCCCTCCTCTGGCTTCCAGGCTCCACCTGACCAGCCGGTGCCCCGGGAGAGCGGAAGCCGCGCCCCTGTGCCGTGGGGCCCCAGCACTGCCCGCACACGCCCCGGCCCTCCCACCATTGTTAACATTGCAGCCCGTTTTCTCAAAGTTTGCAATTCTCCCTCACTTTCTTTAAGTTCCTCAAATTTCCCGTAACGCTTAAACTTTGTTCCAGGTGCTGTAGATTCAGAGATTAGACAGTCCCCATCGCCAAGGAACTCACAACCTGGTACAGATAGCTGACACCTAGCACAGATAACAGTCAGTAACATTTATCTAGCATTTACTTGGTGCCAGGCACGGTACTAAATCCTTTTTGTAAAAAAAATAATATTGTGTTGTAGGTGAAAGTTTACACAGCAAATTAGGTTTCTCTTTAACAATTTTGTGGGAGAAAGATGTGGCAGTCTGCTTCCGTAAAGATTTATAGCCTTGGAAACCCTGTAGGGCAGTTCTACTCTGTCCTATAGGGTTGCTATGAGTCGGAATCAACTCACGGGCAGTTGATTTGGTTTGGGTTTGGCTAACAACTTTTATACAAATTGTTCTATGCCATCGGTTACAGTTTTCACAATGTGTCAACATTCTCATTTCATTCCGTTTCCATCCATGTAACTTCCCTTCCCCTCCTTGCCTTCTCATCTTTGCTTTAGAGTAAATGTTGACTCACATAGTTAACTGTTTACGGGAGCACGTAACTTGGAGCGTTATTGTTTATTTTATAGCCAATTTATTATTTGGCTTTGTCTGAAAGATGACCTGCAGAAATAGCTTCAATTCCAAGTTTAAAGGGTGTCTTAGGGCCATAGTCTCAGGGGTTCCTCTAGTCTATATAGGTCCAGTAGTTCTGGCCTTTTTTAGGAATTTGAGCTTTGTTCTACATTTTTGTATTCGGGACCTTCTATTGTGTCCCTTGTCAGAACAGTTGGTAGGGGTAAGCCGGCACTGTCTGTTTTTCTGGTCTCAGGTTAGAACAGGCTGTAGTTTGGGTGGGCTATTAGTCCCATGGACTAGTTTCTTTTCTGAGCCTTTGATTTCCTCCATTTTCTTTTGAGTAGAGACCAACAGTTATATTTCAGAGGGCCACTCGCCAGCTTTTAAGACCCCAGACGTTACCCACCAAACTAGAATGTAGAACATTATCTTTGGGAACTATGTTATACCAATTGACTAAGTTGTCCCCGAGACTATGGTCCCACGCCTTTTAACCCAGTAAATCAATCCCACATGTTGTTTGGCTGTGTCTAGGAAGCCTTAGGAACTGTGGCCCCGATGTGGTTTGTTACATATGTGGACAGGGACGGACTACCCAATAAGCAAGGTAAGCACGTGCTTCGGCCATCAAGAAAACAGGAGCATCAGTTGTCCAAAGCAAAGACCCGCAGATGCCAAGCAGACAGGGCACAAGAAAAAGGGAGCGCTGCAGTGGAAGGGAATTGATAGGGCACTAAATAAAACTGATACCATTTTATAAATTTTGTATAACAATTATATTTTCCTTGTCATTTTGGACCAATCAGGTGTAACCTCACATTCAGTTCTCTTTCATCGACCACATTAGAACGCACCAGCAGCACTATAATCACGTAATTTATGACATATCTAGTCCTGCCCAAGCGAACAAATACGTGTCTTCAGACTGAGCTCCTTGTGATCACTCTCGCCCCTGTCGAGTATCAGTGATACCGGAATAATGCGGATTGGAGCTGCCTGCCGCAACAGCCAATTCTGAGACGGGTAAGGTAAGCAGCAAGGGTTCTATTATATATCGATATATAGGAGACAGAGGGGAAGAGATTCCTCCAAAAACCGTCTCCCCCACTGGAGATTGGCCGAAAGCTTTATAAGGAGAGGATTATGGGTCTTAGACGTTTTTGTTAGTTCCCCCTTGAGGTGGTCAGTCCCAGATAAGTTAATGTTTTCTTGGGCGTTATCTGGCGACATCCTGGTTTTCTTGTCGCAAGATGAGTGGCTTTGTTTGGTTTTTCATTCCTAGATCATTATCGCTTGTTTTCCACCCTCCAAGGAGGAACATCGGTTAATCTTAAAATTTTTAGAGACTGGAATGGGAGGGAAAAACAACATCATGAGACAATGCAGGGGTTAGCAATGAGGAGTAATAATAGTGAGCCGGACCCATGCCGCCTCTTCCATCAGTAGTGGTCCAATGAACTGTGAACATGCAGCATCAAAGGACGGAAAGTGAGTGCGCAACTTTTTAAGTGTTATTTCAAGACGAAAAACACTCATGGAGATCTGCAAAGGGCTCTCAAACAAACGTTGTATGACAAACAAGTGAAATTATTTCTAACTCCCTTGTAAGTGCTATTTTTGACTATCTCAGACCTGAAGAACAAAATTACATGTCCCAAATCAATTTTTTTACGTACTAATATTCAGATATATTTTTTGTTTTAATGTCCAAATTCAGACGTAAATTTTATTTTATAAATTTTACTTGTTTTATAAATTTTATTTATTTTCAATTATTCAAATTTATTTGCTATGGTAGAACTAAATTTAAAAAGTGACATAAATTTATATCCAGGTAGAATGAAACAGCAACAACTAAGTGGAGCACACAAAAAATGAAATCTCATAGAAAATAAAAAGGATTTGTGAATCCCTAAAGACAATTCCAAGGTTAACTTCCTTTTTAAAATGTAATGAATCAAAAGAGACTTCTTCCATTGAACACTCAAGTTTAATGGGTACAAATCATAGTACTGCTAGTGCTGAAATCGCTAATAGCAATATGAATGTAACAGAATTTCCAAATGCTGCATCCATTCCTTGCTGTAGCAAAAAAATTAATAATGATGTAGAAAGTGAAACTATTTTATAATTGGAAGTTGTCACATCTGCAGACCCCATAAATAACAGAAATACAGATTATACTTTGTGGAATAATATTTTCTTCTAATGATGTAAATTATTGGATCAAAAGAGGGCCAAGTGATTGTCAACATCACAACGGACATGCAGTACAATGGAATGCTTTTGTGCGGACTTTCTCACCGTGGTCTTGTAACTTCCACCAGATGATTGGTTGGGACCATGCTAATAAGGTATATGGAAACTTAAGGGAATTAGTTTTGTCATCCCCCTAGGGTTAAAAAGAGAGCCAATTCCAGAGCAAAGAGAGGATCCCACCACCACCAAGGGAGGAGAGCCAAGAGCAGAGCATGTCCTTTGGACCTGGGATCCTTGTGCTGAGAAGCTTCTGGAACCAAGAGATCGATAGAGACAGAGCACTGTTACACGG